AAACCGCAAAATAAAGAGAGAGGTAGCAAATTAGTCAATTAGAGCTGAATGAGCAAATCTAGAAAATATGACTTAAAAAAACATTTGGGGGCTTTTGAGAGATGGAAAACTGTTTCTGTAGTGTAGTCGGATTCTCTTCCCTGTTCCTGGTGCATGTAATTTATTACAAGACACGTAAATCACGGTGATAATTGTGTTGCCAATATGAAGGTGCTGTACTTTTGCAAAGGGGTGATGAAAATTGAATACAGAAAACATTTTTCTTGTTTCTTAACGTAACGAAAAGTGATAACAAGAGCATCTTCTCATGAGAAGCACTCGATGGTGGAGAACGCAGGGGCCAGAGCTCCAGCTTCTCACCTCTAGGGATTGCTTTTACCCCAGGAGCCTGATTGTAGAGGCTGGGGTGTAAGGTGTTGAGGAGAGTGAGCAGAGAGGGGCCAGCTAACTGGAGCCCTGTGGGCCTGGGCAGGGGTGGATTATACTGCAGGTGTGATGGGGGCACTGAGGGGTCAAGCAGGTCTGTGGTCCAATCTGCCTGCGATTTCCTAAGACTGCTCTCGCCACTTGCAGAGGGCAGGTGTGGCATCTGGGCTCCAGGTGTCAAGTGAGACGGCCCATGCAGAAACCCTTCTTGACCCATTTCCTCTTCTCTCTCTAACAGGGGACGATTTTTGAGAAACTGAGAATCTGTTCTATGCCCCAATTTGTCCGTTTTATACATGATCTGTGCCCCCTAAAGAAGGAACCAGATGTCGCAGTCAAGGATCTCCGATTTGGGACGGTCCCTGTGAAGCTGTACTGGCCCAAGGCATCCACCTGCACTCTCAGGCCTGGCATTGTATTCTACCACGGAGGCGGGGCCACCTTCGGGAGCTTGAGTAAGTCCTTTCCTCAGATCTCCTGCAGGATGGTGGCACCCCCGTTTAGAAGGACGGAAAAGAACTATCATCTTCCCCGGCCTTAAAGTCCACTATTATGACCAGGGAACACTGGGACAGCTGGTGGGTCCCAGATCATTCAGGTGGCAAAAATATGGAATGTATTGATCTCCTTCTGGAAGTAACGATATATATATATATATATGTATATATGTACACATATATGTGTGCATATATATGTACACACATATATGTGTGTATATATATTAAATGCACATAACATAAAATTAACAATTTTGAAGTAGGATTCAGTGGCACTTAGTATGTGTTGTGCAACCACCATCTCTATTTAGTTAGAAATGAGGTTATCTTAAATGAAAATAACTAAAGCACATCATTTTGCTTTACATTGGGTATTGCCTGAGACAAATTCTGGCACAGAAAAACAGGAAAACCAAAGATTTGAGGAAAATTCATGAGAGGAAAAAACTCAAAATTGAGGCAATTTTATTATCTTAATTCCACCGATTAGGAGGAAAACACATTTATCTGTTTTCAGCAGTGCTTTCTTTTTCTTTTCTTTTTTTTTTATTTGTTATGAAAATTCATGAGATACAAAGCTGATTGTCACCACTCATGCCCAAGATGTGATGGCCAGATGCGTACTGGCAGCACGCCCATCACCACAAGTTGCAATTATACCCTGTGTTCCCTGCCCAATTATCCCCAATGGTTTTAATTTGCATTTCCCTGATGATTAGTGATGTTGAGCATTTTTTTCATATACCTGTTGGCCATTTGTATGTCTTCCTTTGAAAAATGTCTATTCAGCTCCTTGGCCCATTTTTTAATTGGGTTATTTGTTTTTTTTACTGTGTAATTGCTTGAGTTCCTTGAATATCATGGTTATTAATCCCTTGTCAGATGCATAGTTAGCCAAAATTTTCTCCCACTCTGTAGGTTGTCGTTTCTCTCTGTTGATTGTTTCCTTTGCTGTGCAGAAGCTTTTTAGTTCCATTTGTTTATTTTTCTTTTGTTGCCTGTGCTTTCGGGCTCATGTTCATAAAGTCTGTGCCCACACCTAGTTCCTGAAGTATTTCACCTATATTTTCCCTTAGTAATTTTACAGTTTCGGGTCTTATATAAGTCTTTAATCCATTTTGAGTTGATTTTAGCATATGGTGAGAGGTGCATGTCTAGTTTCATTCTTCTGCATATGGATGTCCAGTTTTCCCAACACCACTTATTGAAGAGGCAGTCTTTTCCCCAATGAATGTTCTTTCTGCTTTTGTCAAATATCAGATGGCTGTAAGCCTGAGGGGTGATTTCTGGGTTCTCTATTCTGCTCCACTGGTCCGAGTGTCTATTTTTATGCCAGGACCATACAGCAGTGCTTTCTAATCTGTGGAATGCCAGGGTTCCATCATAGTAGGCTTTGAGAATAAAGGATTTAGTGCAATGGTAATTTCAGTCTGGTCTTTATGATGAATGATAGTAATAGCCAATATTTATTAATTAATATTTCTCAATATTATTATTTACACGGCATGTGCTATGGAAATCCTGTATGTGCAGTATCTCATTGAAGTCCCCCACACCCCTATGAGATAGATATGATCATTATCCCCATCTTACAGATGAAGAAACCAAGCCTCAGAGAGGTTAAGTCACTTGCTGGACACTATTTTAGATCAAGCTAACAGGCTGCAAAGTTGGGATTTGGACACTGGTTTGTCTGAATCCAGAGCTCACACCCTAAATCTCTGCTCCATGGCCAAACAGATTCTCAGATATTTTAATGAACTGTAGAATCGATCGGGGGTGGGGGAGGAGGTGTGGGCATCTTGGAGAAAGTTGTTCAGACAGTGCCACGGAGGGGAAATGGTGAGAAAGTTGCAAGGAAGTTTGACAGCTAGAAGCAAGTTTGCAAAACCTAGTCAGCGTGGTCCTAAGTGGTCTATCAGTAAGAAGAGGACAGCTGAGGACAGCCGGCAAAGGGAGCACTCCTGGTGAATGTTAATAACCTTTTATCTTCTAGAAACCCACCATCACATATGCTGTCGTTTGTCCAAGGAGAGTGACTCAGTGGTTCTGGCAGTTGGGTGAGTAAAGGGAATGGGGTAGGTGCCGGGAAGCCAGGCTCTGGTTCAGAGTGCTGGGTGGGCACATGGGAGTCGGGGGAAGACTGAGAGGAGGGGCCGGGCAGGGCGAGGGCAGGCCAGTGAGGAGAGACAGGCAGGGGGAGAGGAAGAGCTGCAGCGAGTAGACAGAGAACAGGAACTCCTTCCTGCGTGTGTGTGGCCCTCGGGTGTGTTTAAAAAGAGGTGTTCTGTGCACCCTATCCTTTGGAAGCTGGGTGGGTAGGGGTCTTTTAAAGCAGATCAGGTGCAGAGCTTCACCACGGGAGCACTTTTGGGGGGGGATAGCTCTTCATTGAGCAGAATAGCCGTGCACATTCTGGACACTTAGCGACTCCCTCTGCTAAATGTGAGTGGTGCCCAGCACTGTCACCAAGATAACCCCAAACACTACCAAATCCAGATCAGGTGCAGAGCTTCACCACGGGAGCACTTTTGGGGGGGGATAGCTCTTCATTGAGCGGAATAGCCGTGCACATTCTGGACACTTAGCGACTCCCTCTGCTAAATGTGAGTGGTGCCCAGCACTGTCACCAAGATAACCCCAAACACTACCAAATTCATTTCCGAGTGCTCCTGAGAGAAAGGTCCCCTGGCTGAGATCCACTGAAGGAAGCAAGGGGGAAAAAAGCCCCACTCCCTCTCCTGACTGATCTCTGAGAGTTACCCCCCCAACCTGGAACCTCAAAGAGGGCTTGGTGGACATCGGATGGGGCAGACGTCGGGGGGGACCCTTCCCTGGGTCTCCACGTCAGGCACACTGGACACAGAGGAGGAGCAGTTACTACCAGCAGTGTGGTCTCTCGTCTGGTCCATCCTCATTAGGGCGGTTCCTCCTGCATAAACTTTCCCTGCAGTTTCATGTAAATGTCCCTGCCATAAAGCAATACCAGTTGGCAACGTCTTGGTGGGGATCGATTTCCCAGCTTTCTTGTGACACAGGTAGTTGACAAGAATGAAAAATAAAGACATAAGTAAGGATGAGAGAGAGAGAGACCTGGACAAACTCCTCACTTTACAGTTCTCGGCTCCAAAACGATTTCTAAATGAGATGGAAATCTTTATCCAATTGCTGACACCATGTGCCTTCCTGTTCTGGTCGTGCCAAAGCAAGAGACCATCAGTAGGACCTGCCTGCACATCTCTGCCAGAAAATTGTCTTCTGAATCCAAGGTAGATAGGGTTTTGGAGTTAAAAGCATTTCTGTCCCTGCACGACCCCAGGACAGCCTGGAACGGGCGAGTTGGAACAGAAATGGCTGGCAGAAGGTTTGTTGGTCCTGTAGACTATTTCCTTTTTTTTTTTTTTTAAATATGTGGCCAGCATTTAAACATGGTGAAATTTCTCACAAAATCTGGATTTCTGAAATCTCCTGTAAAAGAATGAGGCCTAGCAATACCAGGCTGGTGTCCCTGCATGGCAGTCATGGTCTAGAGTAGGTGTGGCTGATTTGGGGGAGTCTTGCATGTTATCTGCTGGCCTCTGGTGTTATTTAAGTCTACAAGATGCCCCTCCAAAACCTGTGGGCATGGTAAATTGAATTAGAATCAAAACCCAAGCTAGCCTGGAGATGCTCATAAAAGAATCATAAGACAGGGAGCAGAAACAGGTGTGAGTCAGGGAAGCAGCCTCAGGCAGGTTCAGAAAGATGGAGCTAGTGTTGGTGCAGTCTAAGCTGTTGACCAATAGGTTGATGAAAGGCTGTTGTGGTCACAGCCGGTCCCTTATAGGGCACTGAGACAGAAGGAATGGCAGCTGCCTCTCACTGAGCCTATGGACCAGGCAGAAGGGCCTTTATGTCTATCATCTCATTTAAGTCTCACACTTAAATCACCTGCTCCGATTTCAGAAAGGGAAGTTAATGGAAGGAATTTGGGCTACGAGATGCTGGGCACAGATATTTTTGGCTCTGCTGGAATGATGAGTGTAGACCATTTTCCTTGATCCCTTTGTAGGTACCGCAAGTTACCCAAGCATAAGTTTCCAGTGATGATAACAGACTGCTTGGTGGCCACCATCCACTTCCTGAAGACCCTGAATGCATATGGGGTGGATCCAGCCCGGGTTGTGATCTGTGGTGACAGTGTGGGAGGAGGCATAGTCTCGGTTATTTGTCAAAAGCTTGTGAAGAGCCCTGATCTCCCCCAGATCCGTGCTCAGATTCTGATCTATGCTGGTCTCCATGCCCTGGATTTCCAACTCCCTTCCTTTCAGCAGAACAGGAATGTCCCACTGCTCAGTTTGAAATATGCCTTCTACTGCTTGTGTAGTTACCTGGATTTCAGCCCTTCCTGGGAAAGAACCTTAATGAATGGTGCTCATTTGCCTGTCCAGGTCTGGGAAAAGTATAGAAAGTGGTTGGGCTCAGAAAACATCCCAGAGAGGTTTAAGAAGAGAGGTTACCGACCCATGCCCCGTGAACCCCTGAATGAAGACGCTTATCTGGAGACAAGCACCATTCTGGATGTGATGTGTTCACCCCTGATCGCAGAAGATGACATAGTGTCTCGGCTCCCAGAAGCTTGCATTGTGAGCTGTGAGTATGACCTTCTCCGGGACCATTCGCTGTTGTACAAGAAGAGGTTGGAGGAGCTGGGAGTGCCGGTGACTTGGCACCACATGGAGGATGGATTCCACGGAGTGCTCAGCACCCTTGACCTAGGCTTCTTGCACTTCCCCTGTTCCACGAGAATCCTGGATGCAATGGCCCATTTCATAAAGGGGTTGTGAGTGTCTCTCTCTACTGCTGGAGCTCCAAGGGTGGATTCTGCTGCCATCCAGTCCCCCTGGGGCTCCCTGTGGCTGATTCAGGTGATGCGAATGGGGCTAGGGAGTGGTAGAGATTGCTGTCTCCTTCCTGGTCCAGGTTCTAGAATCATGCAATTCATATTTCTGGTGTCTAGAGGAGAGCAGTGGAAGAGACAGGTTTGGGGGATGTGGGTGGGGCCCTCTGTCCATGTTCACTGTTGGGAAAATTTGAGCCGACAATCTTTAGTGGCTGTTTTTGACAGTGAGTTAGCATTTAAGTGTTGCTCAAAGCTTCCCTAAGGTAGAGTCCAGACTGTTCAGACTGATCCAGACTATGTGAGACATGAGTGTCTGGTTGGTTGGACCTTGCAACAACACAGGGGCATCTTGTGCAATCTTGTGGGGCTGTTCCAGTGTGGCTCAGAGGGTAGAGCTCTAATGTTCTAGGTTGCTGGGTGGTGGTGGTGGGGGGAGACACTTTTCCTGCTGCTGCCCAACCTCTGGGCTCAGAGCCTTGACTTCCCAGGCTGGAAGAGTTAAGACAGAATGGGTATGTTTTCCATGGTGGTAGGTACCTAGTGGCAGATGAATACAGCCTAGAGCTGCCCGACTGGGGGAGCGAGTACTTTCCTAAAAGAAGGGTAAATGAATATTGGGTGGACATCAATGGTTGCTCTACTAAAGAAGCTAAATTGAACCCCGAGTCAAGGTACTTGGAAGGGACAAGAGATATCAAGGACCACTGGGCAAGTTGACCAGCTGCCCCTTAGGGATAAAAATTCCTTTGAAAGAGACGGCTGGGCTCTCACTCTGGCCTCCCCTGGTCTTCAGAAGGTTCTACTCCTGGTTTGTCAGTGGTTTTATTGGGCAGGATCCAAGTCTACTGCACAAAGGACTCTGTGCATGCTCTTAACTTGCTTTCAGTTGAATATTTGTGCTGACGTGTGGAGCAGAGAGGAATCCCATTGCATAACTCCTTGAGCCATTCACAGCTGAGCAGCAGGTGAGTTTGTTGAAGAAACAGGAACCACCCCCTGAAAACACATCCTGTGGTGGTCACTCAGCTGTTGGAGAGCGCTGGAATCAGAGAAATCAGACCCTTCCGAGACAGGTGTCTGAGTTGAGGCTGGGTAGGCTCCCCGATTTGAGTGTTGTTTTACCTCTGCCTCTGGAGATGAGTGGAGAAACATGAGCTGATCTTTTGGAAAGTTGGGTGGTCAGCTTTTCTCCTGCAGGGTGGTGAAGAGTTGGCGAAGGACTGTGCCCACTGAAGATAAATGGGTTACACTTGAAAAGGCTGGGAGTGCCCCTGGTCGGACTCATCTCCAGGGCTGCTTCCTTCTGCAGATTGTGGAAGAGACAAAGTGCTTTCACTCAGTGGCTTGGTGGGGGGGGGGGGGGGGGGTTTCGGG